GAGGTTGTAGAACAGCCTTCTGGGGAAATCTTTCTCAGCAGTAGGTAGCAAGATCCTCCTTATTTGCAACACTCACTTTGATGGAAGGGGCTGTGTGACAGGAGAGGAGTGATCCAGGAGTTAGAAATTCAAGCTTCAGAGACACAAGACTGCTGCTATCCAATTTTGTGGTATACTTGAGAAACATTTGAAAAGAAGCCTGTCCGTGTTCTGAGGGCTGCTCCATGTTTATAAATTTAATGGAAATTTTTCTTCAGGACTTGTGTTGGTTGCCTGCATTTTTGCTTCACTTCTTGCTGTACAATCTGGCTCCGGGTCAACTTAAGTTCCCACACTGCTCTGAGGGACTGAGGACAGGCAACAGGTCCAGATGTGCTCTGAGGAGCATCACCAAACCCCAGCAATGCCACAGGCTGGTGCAGCTGGTTCATGCATTCATGGCATTACAGAGCTTGCCAGCTCAGAAGGTAATTCTCACCAAGACAGACTGATGGGGATTGCTGTCACCTCCTGTTGTGTGTTGGGGGTGATACTAAGATCTCTCAGGAATTTTTGCCAAACATAATTTCTCTTTAGGGGCCTAGGACACTGTTGACACCCTTGACATCTCCTCCTGTTTTCCCATGGCAGACTGTAACTTCCAGGGGGTTGGTGCCTTATATACAAGGGGCTAAAGCGTTAATTAGTGTTGAGGTTTTCCATGTGGCTTGAGGAGGTCTGAGGTTCTTGTAGCTCCTGAACACCTACTGCATGGCTTCCTGCAAGAGTGGAAGGCTTGAGCTCAGTAACCTATGCTGCTTCATTCAATCCTACATGCTTTCTTTAAATAGTAAAACATGGTACAAAATATGCAGAAGATTTTAAAGAGACACTGGGTCACTGGACTTCATACTGAAACACATCCTCTTGGGTTCTTCTGCCCCATCTGTGCCAGAAGTGGAGGAAACTAATCTGTGACTTATGAACCTCTCTGTCCCTTTGGGGCACGTTGGGCCTAAAGGAAGATGGAAACCTCACTAATAGCCCCAGTCTTTTGACAGATCCTTGCACGGTTTGTAAAAGAGGAAGACAAAGGAGTCATTTTCTCCACTGTTCCTTGCGCTGTTGCACAAAGGCAAGTAAGTTATACAATAGCTAAATAGGGATTACACAACTAAGCTCCATAAATCTAAATCAGAAACAGAATCTCGGTCCTGCACTGGACAAAAATAAAAATGTGGAAGGGTGAAATTCTGGTCCTAATGAAGTTAGTGACAAAGCTCTTGCTTACTCTGGTGAGATCACAGTTTCACCCAAAATCTTGTCTCAAGCCTGTAGCTGGCTGACCAGCCTGGATATTTAAAGCATATCCCTGTTAAGTTTTTACAAGTACAGGGATAAAACAACCTTTTCTTTGTTGTTGTTGTTGTTTTGGGTTGGGTTTTTGTTTTTGTTTTAAGCTTTTTGCTTATGATAAAGAAATACAGAAAACTATTTTAAGACCAAGTACTGAGCAACCACTTGCAAACCTGGAAGCCTAAAAAAGGGCCTGATATACTGTCTCTGCGTCAAGAACAGACTTTGGCAAAACAGTTGTTCCCATGCTTCGGTGTCAGTACATTAAGCCACTGAAAGCGCCTGCTGAATCACACTACTTTGGTATCGGACAGAAAGATGGGAAACCCTGACCTGTGGGGGTTGTCAGTCCAAACAACAAAACACAGACATCAGCAAAACAAATAAAAGTCCCTAATGAATTTGAGATTTAAGCTCTGCAAGTAAATAACTTTGTGAAATGATCTGCTCTGCTACAAGAACTGAGTGTCGCTGAAGCTGTTTGGCACACAGACCACACTAATTACTTGACAGTTGTTTCAGTTTGGCCTGAGGTGGACAGCAGTGCTGGGTAAGAAAAGCCACTGCAGTTTCTTCATGTCCCCCCAGTCATCTGGTCTGACTATTGAAAACTATTGCTGTTACACTGAATGCTAGCATGTACACCAGGGCTCCCCCCACCCACAAGATTCCTGCCTGATGAAAAAGAAAGGAAAAAAGAAGAGAGGAGAAAAAGGAAAGCTTGTGCAATTAGGGCCAGGCATCACATGTATTCCCAGGCCATGAGTTATTTCTCTCCCCCTCTTCCCTGAAGCATCTCTTAACAACTGAGCTGATTCAAAGCAGAATGTCATTAACAATCTAACAGTGGACAAGGACTGGGGATTATCCCTATCTCACAGAAGCCAACTATAAATAATCATCTTGGGCAAATCTAACATTCTGACAGGGTGGTAGGATCCCAAAAAACTGATTCCTGTATATTAATAAACACAAATGCTGAACTATTTAATGCAGAGCTTTTTGTAGCTGTGTAAATCCTTCTAACAAGCATCGGATAAAGCTGTCAAGGTGGGGAAGAATTGCTTCTATGTATGTGATTAAGCCTGAGCAGTTAAAAAGACTTAGCCTGCTATAAACAATTAAGTATGGTAGGTCAGTGCCATCCCAGTACCCATCTGGAAAGTCATCATAGCCTTGACTGTTCCATGACCAGCTTGTGACCAGCCCACATATGGCCCAAGCAGGGCAAAATCTCACAGGCTCAACTGTAACTTCCAGCCTTTATACTGTGAAATATGGTGGCATGGCAGGCTGTGGCTCTGTCCCTCCTCTGCACCAGCTAGAATCCAGCTGGAAAATTAGGGGCCAGAGAAATTGTCTTTCTTGGTTTTCTCACTGTGCAGAACAAGTGATTAATCAACTCCAAGTTTCATACCCATTCATCATATTGCAAGCTTACACCATCAATTTGGATGGAGCCATGCTACTTTATATCTTCATTCATTCCCTCTGACACTTGTCTACTTCTTCCTTCTTTCATTCGCACTTGTGTCATTTACTAACAAACACCTCCCTACACTTACCTTTCCTGCCTTATTTGTTCCCTCTCTCACATCAATGATTACACCCTCTTCACACTACCCCCTTTTCTTCTCCTTTGTTATACCCTGGACCCCACAGATCCTCCCTTGGCCTCAAAAAAAAAAGTAATGAAGAGGGAGAGAAGGAAAGAAGAGAGTGATTCCGTGTAAGTGGCAGTGAGAAATGCAGTGTACCCCTTGAATGCGGTACTTTGAGAGGCACTCTAGGTTACCCAGGTAACACTGGTGAACCCCTGCTTTCTTCAGGTCAGAGGTTTTGTTCTAAATTTGTGCTTCGTTGGGTAGAAGGTTTGCTTGAGTGCTCACGTGTAAGACTCAAGGATTAAACCCAGAGGTAGATGAGCAGGTAAGATGACACCAGAATCAATGCACTCTCACATGCCCATACCAGTCGTCCCCAGGAAGCCCATACAATTACTTAGCTTCCACCCCTTTTTGCAGGTAGTTTTTCTGAAGCAGGACATTATTCATTTTTTCCAAAAATAAGCAGAGCATTTATTGTTCAAAAATGCTGCCTCTGAGTGTCAGGGTCTTTGCAAACACTTACTGTTATGCACGGACATTCATTCCAGGTGTAATGACGAACACGGCAAACAAATCCAGTCTCATTGAAGTACAGAACAGAGACACACCACCAGTCCCAACAGGTATTGCTCATACTTCGGATGCAAAATCAAGAAACCCTGGCCTTTGGTGCTCATTGGTGTCCTCGCAAACACAAACAGAGGTAGTGATTACCATTCTGTATATTTTTCCAAGTTCTGAAGTGCAGTCATGCTTGTTTTACATTGACCAAATAGCTTGAAGTGCCAAGTTTCCAAAGTAACATAATATAAGAGGAATTTGGCTCATAAGTTTACTAAATACTAGGTTTGCCTTTGAAAAGAAAAGACAACAGAGGAGACTGTTACTTCTCAGCTGTTAAGTGAAAAAAACACTCAACAATAATTCTTGTGTATAGCTTCCTTTGCCTCGTCCAGCCGCAGCTGGACATAGAGATAATGTCTTTCCGAGCATCCCACAAACACTGGCACTGAGGTGGCACTCCTTTATGAACACACCAGCTCAAACTGAGTGTCTAAAGAAGAGGTCCTCATTTTACCTACAAGGAATTCAGTGGCAACAAGTAATGTGAGAGGCAGATACAGAAAACATGCTTAAAGATGCTGAGTGGCTTTTCTTACAGGACGAACTCTAGGGTTTATAAACTACCAGCTTAGCCATGGATTGCCTTCCCAAAGCCACAAACACCTGATAGCTTCAGTTCCAATCATGAAATTCCCAACATGGTAGCAAACAGCAAATGCTGTCAACTTGCCACATAGTACAAAGACAGCATCAACAACAGTAATTAATGAACACAGTCCTGTGTATCTTAGCAACCCTAGAAGCCCTTGTCAAACTTCAGAGATCATTTTATGGCAACCAAGCTCGGGGAAAATGGCCTGGGCCAGAATGAACAAGCATGATGGGCTGCTCTTACCCACCACAAAACAACTCTTCAACCATAAGGAGTAAGACTAAAGACCTGGCTTAAGGCAGGAAAAACAGTATACTGACAGCCTTTCAGGTACTGAGTGTATACCAGTTTCTCACCTAGTCTCCTCCTGAGTGAAATAACTGGTCCAGCGCTGCTGTTCAGTACTTACACCTCCTCTAGTAAACTGAAACATTACACAATACCTGAAAGTTACAATTTCCATTTGTCTTAGTAATATATAAGAACACTTCTTAATAACTTCAAAGTGTTGGGCCAAATTTGATTACATACTCTTCCTTTTTATGTGCTCCTTCTTTTTCACTAAAGCCAAACAAACATGCAAAATTTCTGCCCAGAGAAAAAGACGTTTCTGTGATTCATTATCAGAATATAATGCCAACATACATAAACAACAGGACATGCCAATCTTGCTCTGATTAACTCTCTCCAAATTTACCAAAACCTTGTAACTCAAAACCAGCTTCTCCATATGCCAGCCTCTAAATTACCTGACAGACAGACGGTCGAGTGTAAAAGCAGCAGAAGTCACATTAATGTGGTAAGATGAATGAACAAGACCTGGGTTATCATCAATAACTTACTCTATAGTAGTCTGTGCTGTACACATCTCTAGACATTCCAAAATCCCCGATCTTCACCAGGAGGTTCTCACCAACCAGGCAATTCCGGGTAGCAAGATCCCGATGCACGAAGTGCTGTGACGCCAGGTAAACCATACCAGCTGCAATCTGCTGGGCAATGTGAAGCATCTGGGATTGGGTCAGCTCAGCAGGACGGTTGCCTTCTGCCATCAGTACTGCATCTGGTCCATGTGCCCTGCACCAAAATACAAGCTGGTTAAGTGATAGGCCACTTGTAAGCTGGAGAAGTGAAAGGCATTAGTGAGCCTAAAACCACACAACTGAAGTATAATAACAAAAAGAGCTACAAAGTAATTGGTGAAATAAGGGACAATTTGTATTGTGGATTTTTTCATTTACTGTTTTCCTTCATTGTGTGAAAGACAGGCAGTGTGAAAACCATTACGCAAGAAGTTATATATTACTCATATACGGCATATGCGTTCATAGTAATACCCCTCTGTACGAAATCACCACCTTTCTCCTGTTCTGTTCTAGCAATCTTTTCTGGAGAAAGGCTACCCAATGTAACTGTTTGATAACTGAGGAAAACCTTATCACTCTGTAAGAGTGAAAGGCAATGGAGTGAAAGGCAATGAAGTGGCATGCATAGCATCAGTTTTCCTATTTCCAGCATTCCTTGATTTCTACAGGGAGACAGGCCATTGACCCTTCCATCTTTTCTTAAAGAAGGAAGAACTAACTTCTTTCTTGGATGCCACTGGAGAAACAAAGGCAGCAATTTTAGATTTACATTTCTAATTTCCTATCCAAATGCACAGAAGGAAACCACTTTTGCTTATTTCATCACAAAGGGTAAGTCCTGCCTGAGATGGGAATTCTTGACAATAGGAAGAGGACACAAAAGACACACTATGTGGAACAACTAAACAGCTTCAGAAATACAAGCTTTTCAAGACCTAGCAAGACCCTAACATGTAATAATCAACTGATTAATCAGAAACTTGTATACACTTCAGTAGAAGGAGAACCATTTTGCATTTGGAAAGCCCAGCAAAGTACTGGAACACATGTGCTTCACCCATCTTAACTATGGTATACACATGTAACATCCTAGTATCTTGAAGATACAGATAGAACCATTCCTACACACAACATTTTATAATAAGCATTACTAGCTAATCCTTATCCAACTAATGAGGTCATCTGGCAATCATTCCTCATTTGATACACCTTATAATTTTCTGAATATCCCTTTCCATCCATTTCATTATCCTGGGTTGTCAGAAGCCTTTTTCATTCCTTTCCTGCAGGCTATTCTTTCTAAGAGACCACCTGTCCTCTTCCTTCCACAACTTTTTTTTTTAAATACTCTAGAACCGATTTTTATTTTCTCTCAAAGGTCCTTCCTTCCTACAAAGAGGAGTTCAGAGAATCACCTTTCTAATCAATAGAGGTGAGGACTTAATTCATCCCTAGAAGAAGGGCAGAGGAGTTTGGAAAAGAGTTGCAAATTAATAAAAATCTCTGAGATGAAATCTGACACTACCTATTAGTAATATGATATTAAAATTGCCCCAAGGGAAGAACTTCATAAGCAAAGTGACAGATGTTGGAAAGAAATGGAGGGCGTGTAGCATTGCTGGGACTGCATCTGGTACCGGACAAAGCAAGTCTCCGCCACAGGGTACAGGTAGGCAGCCATTCAGCTCGTCTGGGTTCAGGGGGAATAAATGGGAGGACATGAAACTTCCAACCCAGATTGCCAGGCAAATTCCTGTCGGAAAGCACTGTACCTTTTTTTTAATGACTGCTCTCTGGCATGAATCTCTGAGTTGCTAAATTAGAGAACTCTTAGTCTTTCACTAGCTTCCTTGAGGACAAGATCTGTATCCAATGAACCTTTTGGATTGTTCTTAACACTCCATCCACCTTGCATGTCCTCTTGGTTCTGGGTGTAAAGGAGGTGCTCCTCAGTGTCTGCAACAGCCAGGAACATCAGCAGAGATTTCTTTAGATCCACATCAGTCTCCACTAGCCAGAACGAGCTGGCATGACGTTGAGGCTTTAGTCCTAGATTTGAAACAGCCTTTGGCTGCATGCAGACAGCAAGGCTCATTTGGGTTAAATTTCACATTCATTTTTGCCCGACAGCCTTTGGTGGCGCTGCAGGGTAAAAAATACGGGCTCTTACGGCCCGCTTACAACTAACCTCTGAGCTGCAGCACAAGCTTCAGCAAATGTGAGAGGAATGACAACTTGGAGCTTAGGTTTAACAGCTTGTCCCAGTATAATCATTTTATGTTCTAAAGACAAGGGCTGATCAACAATTAAAAAAACAGAGAAGACCTAAAGTAGGAAATACACTGTCTGCTAAACTACCTTTCTGGACAATAATTCAAAATCAGAGTTAGGAGGTAAGAAACGGCCAATCAAAAGAATCAAAGAATAAGTTATTTCTTACAAAATAAGAAATTATTTCTTAGCAGATGCAAATCTGGCTTCTTCTAATAGAAATTCAATGTTCTGAAAAAGTACTGGGATGGCATCTTAGGAAACTGCAGTTCTCTCCTGATCCATGGCAGAGGTCCAAGCAGGCAAATGTAAAGGCTCCAACATGACTCTGACAATATACTTAAATCCTCCGCCAGAGAGACAATCAATCTGTGAAAAGTAGTAGCGTTTGCTCTGCATCTCCAGTTCAGGCCCCAGTCTCCCTGCCAAACCTGGCAGCCCAGTATGGGAGGATAGTAGTTGATGTCATCCACTTTTACGGTGTGGCTATTTGTTCAGTGGAGATTAGAAAGACAGGAAACTCATTTCACACAGGTTATCAAAAATGTATAAATGGAAACACTAACAGTCACTAGCCATTTCAGTCATAGAAAAATCTGAACCCATTTAAAGGGACATCAGTTTTGATTGTTTTACAGCTTTGTCACAAATATCTTTCCAACATGGTAGTACCCCTAGTTATCTTTGGCAGGAGAGATCTCATTACACTGAATGCTTTTGTGATATCCTTTGATGAAAATCACATAGAAGACCCTGAATGAACAGTCTATTACGCATATGTTTTTTCTACATTGGAGCAAAAGCTGTCTCTCAACTGCTTATTTTTATGTCAAAAAGTGCAGGCTAGCAGAAATGGCACATACACAAGGCCACAGTTCATAACTTCCTGATTCATGAGTTACCTATTATTGGGAACCTTAGGCATCATCTATTTATTTATGACTGCTTTACTGCCAAGTTTCAATTTCCAATGCACGTTCCTGAACAGCTTCGTGAAATAAAACCCTAATCCAGACCCCAAGATGTAGCATTTTCCATTGCACTGAAGTTTCCATGGCTCACAGTTTTCTTGCTTCAGATTAATGGCAGTCTTTCCAAAACACTGAGAGGAGGGAAGAGAAAAGGAGCTAGATTTCAAAAGCTCTTAGACACCTACAGATAGCTATAGGTGTTGAGTGGGATCTTCCCAAGTGCTACCAAAAAGCCTGCAAGAAAATGTTTCTTACTGTAAGATTAATAATGAAACATTTCAGAATACATTGAAATATATTGAAAACAGTATTTTTTTTTGTTCCCATTCCTTTGGTGCAAAGGACAAGGCTTGACTTCATGGTATTTCCAAATAGGCAGAGAAACAGAGCCCCATATCCCACTACAGAAGAAGAGAGTCGCACAGATTTGCACTCCTAGGTGTGGGCATTTTCCGGTGGCAGTAGTTAGTTTGACACTAAATACAGTAACACCTACCTTCTCTGCCCACTTCTGGTTCAGCACAGTATGTGTTAGTGGATTTACCTGAGGAATTTGTTAAGATCTCCGTGCTTCATATACTCAAAGACCATGATGAGTGGATCACCCTCGACACAGACACCGTAGAACTTGACAATGTGCTCATGTTGCAGATTAGTTAAAAGCTCTGCCTCGCGGTGGAAGTCCTTGCGGGCGTTGTCGCTGGCATCCTTCAGTGTCTGTCAGAGAAAACAAAAAAGTAAGAAAGACAGGTTTGCAGAAGGTAGCAAACATGTGGAATGGCACTGTAAGATAAAGACACTATACTGCATAAAGGATGGAGGAAGTACTTTCTTAATAACACTTTTAGAAATGCAGATGTGATGTTTAAGTGCAATTAAATAATGGCAGTACAATTTTCATTCGCCTGCCACATGTCATCCCAAAAAAAAGATTCTTCTTGTAAGAGGATGCAGGAATACCCATGATCTTACTGTGCCAAGTGTTTTCCAAATACAGAACAAATGAACTGATCTTATCCAAACTATACACTAGTACACAGCTGGTTCATATCCTTTAGCATTTAACTCAGGCAAACTCTAGTATCCTGTTGGTATTTACCTTCTTGTAAGTTCTGTAAAATGAAACTCTGCTTGCTTAAAATACTTAGTAGGAACACAGATGCATTCTTTATGTATCACTAATATTACTGTTGCTGATGTTGGCCCCTATGGTGTGCTATATACATTAGGTAGATTTATGCAAGGGTACAACCCTGGACCAGAACTTTCAACCCAAGATTTCAGTCAGGAACTCCTTTGAAATTCAGTAAATCTACTCACAAGCCCAAGACTAAGCATATGTGTAAGTAGCTGGAGGATCAATCCTAAACCGATAGACAGAGAGGAAGCAGACGCAGATCAGAATTCTGGGGTGTCAATTTTTCTCATGCCCTTTTATTTATAGAGCTCTAAACTCTTGCATATGTTCATTCTGAAGAAAGTATATCAACACTGGATCAAATATATTTATACAAATAAATGTTGTATAATGAAATAATGCTAATTTAGCCACCACACATAGGCAATTGCGGATCTTTTCTTAAAAACTATACTTCCTGAGCAAAGAAACATTTTCATGCACCAAAAAGAAGAAAATTGTGACATGAACTGAATGAGAAATAATTATAAGTGACAATAAACCACTACTAGGTTCTATCTTCAAAAGGTACAGTGGCTTCACTATACTAATTCAAACAATATTTTTAAAACAGTGAGAGAAAGATAGCAGGTTACCAGTGTTCACAAATTATTATTCACAGAAATTGATGTCTGGGCTCTGTACCTCTGGATTTTAACTACACCTAGACTTAATACAAAGCAAGATGAGACACAAAAGTGGTGGCATTGTTTTAACTAAAGATGCTTTTTCGTGGGCATCTAGTCACTTTATTTTCTATCTCCAATTCATATACAGAGCACAGGACCAACCACACTCATCAGAACAGATGCAGAACAAGTTGATACTGTGCAATCATTCTGCCAACAAATCCAGTTTTTAGCTGCAGTAGTCATGGTTTGTTCAAGGTTTTTCTTCAACAGAGACAATTCTGCCCACTTTTCCAATATTATATGTCTTCATGTGTGAAGCAGGGACTAAAAGATGACTGGCAGAGAAAACAATTTCTTTACTTGTGAAACTGCAACCACAGGTCTTGAAAAATGAACAGCTACCATAATAAGGTCCAGATGAGGGCACAAGGAGTAGGACAGACTGCATAGGCATCTACCAAGTTCAGGGACTTTTCCCTGTGGATTTCAGGCCCTATGGATCCTAGAGGCAATACAAATCACTCATGCTACAGATGTCCCTTCCCTGAGGGACCAGCTTATGAATCTCATGTGTCTTCAGGCCTGGAACTCTTCTTCTACAAGTTTTACCAGTAATGATGCAACAAAAATATCGCATCATCAAAGCTTCACAGGCTATGATATATTAGTATACACAGATGAATCATCTAAGGTGGACATCAGATTGGCTCCACACTATGGTCCCCACACAATCACATCTGAACTGAGTGAGGACTGAAATTGAAATATCTTCCGATGCTTCCTGGCTCTGGGATGATGCTTTAACATGATACAAGCACCAACCCACAGTCCAATCTACGCTACATAATGAAATCACTGGGAACAATTCTGTTGTCACTTGAGTTTTCTTTGGTGGTTTCAAGTATAAAGTAATTGCACCGTAATTCTTAACAACAGAATTAGAAAAACAGTTCATATAGAAAACATTTTTAAGTAAAAGCAACCTGGAAAAAAATTGACAGGGAGAAGCATAGGCTGATACCATTTCCAGGAGGCTCTTTGCCTGGAAAGACAGTAGAAATGCTGACAGCTCTGCCCTGTGAGGATGGCATATTGTATATTTCAGAAGATGCTTTTTATCTCACAGAAACAGCAAAATTATCATATGACAGCGCAGTTGCCATGGCAATTGCACATTTTATGTCAAACAGCAAAATGCAGAAAGGTCTAAAATGCAGGTAAAATTCAGGCAGGGTTTCTATTACCAAGGGGCAACTTGAATTTCCATCACCCACCATTGCAAAACCCCCTTTTCATTATTTCACACAGTGCACAGAATAGACACAATGCATGAGAGATAGCTGACAGGCAAGGAGGAGACTGGAAGGTGAAAAAATTAATAAGTACATAGGATTTACATAGAAATGACATTTACTAATGTATTTAGCATGTTCTCAGTGCAAAAGAAAAAAATAAAACCAAAATAAAACCTTAAGAGCAGAAAGAGAGAAAAAGACATATTCATTATTATTATTGTTACTGACAAGTATGCTAAAGCTCCGTATACAAAGCACTCTCACCAGTCGATAGGAGTTTTTCCCAAGTATGAACTGACATACAACCCCATGTACTTTCCAACCACTCAGGCCAGCAGCTAAGGAGGGGGGACATACTCCCTTGAGGAGAGGGATTCCATGGCTGTTACAGGAAATCCACATCTACTAGGTTCATCCTTGTGACAGCTGAACCACCAGCCCATGCTTATTCTCCTCCACACAGTCCTTGCCTAAGTATCCAATACCCTCTGGTCTCTGCAGACCCACGCCCTGTAGCAAGTGCAAACTGCCAGCTCCCGACACCACAGAGCTGCATTCATGGGCAAGTCACAGCAAGAGAAGGGGGCTGTGGATCTCATCAACATCAGTGTGACTTGGTAATGAAACTGTCACATCAGTCTTCCATTGTACTGTTTCAGCCTTCCCCCTGCAAAATCCCTACTACTGTTCTCCATCACCATACAAGAGCTGAGTGGTATATTTCCCAAGAATTAAAGGGGTGGGTTTGACCCTTCTCTGAACTGAAGACCTGAAGAGTTGTAAACCTTTGGTTTTCCTCTGCAGTTGCCGTGGAAATGTTTTTCACCTCACACACACAGCAGTCTGCTAGCTGAGCACAACCTTGGAGCAGCACAGGGTGAATCTCCCTCCAACCACCCAGGTGTGCCAGAGGCAGCTGCTAGCCTGTGCTTTGACAGTCATCCTCACCTTCAGCTCCAGACACGTTAAGCAAGGCTATGCCTGGGGATCCAACCCTATGAGGAGACAGGCCTGAACAACCATTGTGGCACGGCAAAATGGCCTGCAAGAGAAAGATAACTTTTCCTTCCTCCACGCTCTGTTCTCTAAAAGTGTCTGCAACAAATGGTGTACTGATGTGATGTACAAACTCACCTGGGCAGAAGGGTAGTACAGTGCCCATGGAACAAGCTTAACCTGTGTTTAAGCTCTCTGCTCACAGAGTCTGACCCACAGAAAGCATTTCTGAACACTCAGTACTCCCCCTAAAAAGCCTGGTGGTTGAAACAAATTTAAACAGATTGCCTTTTAAGGACAAGGAGGAGCAAAAGCTCAAGCACTTTATGTTGTTTATGCTAAGCCTGATTTTATATCTTCCTAGATTTTTCTGGGCTTCTTAGCTACTAAATAATTAGCTGCAGCAATGTCAGCATTTCAGATACCAGCCAGCTGAAAAGGAGAAGGATGCATGCTGAGTCACACAGTGATGCTCAGGGCCAGGCACAAACCATGCAGTTGCCCAGCAACACGCAGGCAGAAGCAGCCTTTGGGGACCAACAGCCATCCTGATCTACCCTGTGCAGGTGAGATCGTGCCTCCTGGCTGCCAAAATCCCTCTGGCACTGCTTTACCCCTCACCAAGTGCATATTCCCACTGGGCTCACTGAATCTGTTTTCTGGAGACAGGTGTGTTGTTGTGAGGCTCTCTAAAGCCTTTGCTGTGCGCCAGGAGGAGCAGCCTCCCACTGCTGGCATCCAGGCCTGCTCCAAGACTGAAAAAAAAACCCAAAATCACTCATTTTCACTGCAAAACCCTGTGCCCAGCAGTGAGGTCCAGACACAGCACAGTCCTCTGGCTAACTCTCTGCACACCAGTGAGTTCCCATCCCTTGACCTGCACTGTGACTGAAGGACATCTGTGAGCTATGGTTGGTATCATGGTGAAAGAGAGAAGTGCCAGGAAATTAATCCCTCAGTCATATGGGGATCAGTCCAATGGCACAGTTCACCAAAAATTTCCCTCTTTGATGGCAGCCAGAGTCACATCTTCAAGAACCAATGCAAGATCTTTATTCAGGACAATACAAAGAGTGGATTCAGTAAAAAAAAAAAAAAAAAAAAAAAAATTAAATTAAATTAAAAGTGACAACTGGTCCAGAAAACTGATAGATTTGTCATCTAAACACATGGAGACATCTCTCCCTTTAAACGCTGAATGCTCTTCCTTGTGAATTACACTGAGAAAGATCAACAGAGAGCAAGCACGGTGCAGCATTTAACAGAACAATTGCTAGGCTCCATTTGGTCAGGACTTACAAAGGGAAGAAATTAATGGAAATACTTTTATTTTGCTACCAAGCAGTTCCCTGAAGTGACAGAGGAAAGGCAATTTCCACTCTAACTTCTCTAAAATAAAACAGAAAATTCATTCAGATATAGATTTGCCATATCCTGTCTCTTGCTTTCTCCTGTCTATGACATAACTCTGTCCTGGTTTCAGCTAGGACAGTGTTAACCTTCTTCATAGTAGCTAGTAAGAGGCTGTGTTTTGGATTTGTGCTGAGAAGAAGGCTGATAACATTCTGATGTTTATAGTTGCTGCCAGGACAGTCAAGGACTTTTCACCTTTTCTTGCTGTGCCAGTGTCCACAGGTGCATGAGAAGCTGGGAGGGAGCACAGCCCCAATTCCTAGCCTAGGATTCGACCTTAGGTTTAGGATTGAGACTGACATTGGCCAATGGTATATTCCATATCCTGTACATCCTGCCCAGTATATAGATGAAGGTCTGTCCAGAAATTCCTTCTATCTCTGGGTTGCCCCTCTCTCTGGGTCATCTCGGTCTCCCAGCCACTTGGCTCTCGGTCTCTTGGACGCTCAGGCTCTTATGTCTTCTGGAATTGCAGTTTCAGGACTCTTCCCTGCTCTGGGACCACTAGCTGGGAATGGGCTGAGCCTTGGTCATCAGGTGGCGAGCAGTACCACTGTGTATCACTCATTTTTATATTTCTATAT